TAGCAGTTAATAGAGTAAGGTTCAATCTTGCTGAGCTGCTCTTTTTTGCTGCCCGAACTTCCGCAGGTGACCTGGCGGAACTCTCCCGGAAGTATTGCAAACGTTCCGGTTGGTTGTCTGAGTAGGGGAGAATTCGACGGAAGCACTCAGTTCGAGTATATTGTCAATCTTTATTGCACAAATTTCATTAACGGTATTTCAAACGTCTATACAATTACAACATAAGCGAAAAAGTACGAGAAGAAAAAGCGACACTAATTTACATACAAAAAGATATATTGCAGTCTAAAGCTGAGATGCGTAGAGGTACAGAAAGCACGAAGGCAAAGTTTTAGTATTTAGTGATCAAGGCAAGGTGACGTGGAGTTATTGAGGCTGTACATAGATGGATTAGCGTAGACGCTGGCCACACATCGAAGTCGATTGCGTTCGTTCATTTGGACAAATTTTTGTGGATAGTAGGCTGGGTCAAAGTACGGTATCAGTCCTGGAAACAGAGAATTTTCAAAAATCTAGTAGATCAGGGGTTAAAAAACTGCAAAATTGCCAACCTCCATAACCAGCAGGAGCACAATTACACGGTTCTTCTCTCCATGTGCTGCTCCAATCGGGTTGATAGCTGTAGTTATATCGAAGTGCATCAAGTTTCACAGGCATATCTAGATACATTTAATCGATACGCATTTATTGTACATTTCTGGCTAGATCTCCTAACCTTTACAGGTCAGCAACTTATCAGCTCCAGCAGGTACACCGAAGTAGGAGCAGAACCATTTGAACGCTTTGATTCGACGAGATTCACCGGGACCTCAAAAACAGAACTTCGAAATTTTGTCGGTTAGGGGGGTTTTTCAAGCGCACCTCCTGGCTCATCCTTGTCCTCTCCATTGCATTCATTGTTGATGATAAGACTGGTAGGCCCAAATATGGGACCAGTATAACCAGCAGCTGCGTTTCGAGGTCCACTATTCCATGTTCCTGGAAAAAAATGCTCAAGGACATAATTCGAAGCAGTTATTCTAATTACTATTGGTTCATTTATTTATTATCGAAGTTTTCAACATGAATCAATTTTTTGGAACTTACCCATAACGATATCATGCATAGCTGGTTTTGGTGGTTGTGGCGTCATATAGAACCACAAAGAAGCAAGCATGGCAAGTGGCGGATTCATGTTGGTCATGATTTGCAAAAGAAATATATGTACCCAGACGACGAACTTCCGCACGACAAGCCAAATTTGCAAAAGTTCC